GCAGTAGAAGAGTGGAGGTGTGGACTAGGGGTGTGAAGTAGAAGAGTGGAGGTGTGGACTAGGGGTGTGCAGTAGAAGAGTGGAGGTGTGGACTAGGGGCGTGCAGTAGAAGAGTAGAGGTGTGGACTAGGGGCGTGCAGTAGAAGAGTGGAGGTGTGGACTAGGGGCGTGCAGTAGAAGAGTGGAGGTGTGGACTAGGGGTGTGCAGTAGAAGAGTGGAGGTGTGGACTAGGGGTGTGCAGTAGAAGAGTGGAGGTGTCGACTAGGGGTGTGAAGTAGAAGAGTGGAGGTGTGGACTAGGGGTGTGCAGTAGAAGAGTGGAGGTGTGGACTAGGGGCGTGCAGTAGAAGAGTGGAGGTGTGGACTAGGGGTGTGCAGTAGAAGAGTGGAGGTGTGGACTAGGGGCGTGCAGTAGAAGAGTGGAGGTGTGGACTAGGGGTGTGCAGTAGAAGAGTGGAGGTGTGGACTAGGGGTGTGCAGTAGAAGAGTGGAGGTGTGGACTAGGGGTGTGAAGTAGACGAGTGGAGGTGTGGACTAGGGGTGTGCAGTAGAAGAGTGGAGGTGTGGACTAGGGGTGTGCAGTAGAAGAGTGGAGGTGTGGACTAGGGGTGGGCAGTAGAAGAGTGGAGGTGTGGACTAGGGGTGTGCAGTAGAAGAGTGGAGGTGTGGACTAGGGGCGTGCAGTAGAAGAGTGGAGGTGTGGACTAGGGGCGTGCAGTAGAAGAGTGGAGGTGTGGGCTAGGGGTGTGCAGTAGAAGAGTGGAGGTGTGGACTAGGGGTGTGCAGTAGAAAAGTGGAGGTGTGGACTAGGGGTGTGCAGTAGAAGAGTGTCGGTGTGGACTAGGGGCGTGCAGTAGAAGAGTGGAGGTGTGGACTAGGGGTGAGCAGTAGAAGAGTGGAGGTGTGGACTAGGGGCGTGCAGTAGAAAAGTGGAGGTGTGGACAAGGGGTGTGCAGTAGAAGAGTGGAGGTGTGGACTAGGGATGTGTAGTAAAAGAGTGGAGGTGTGGACTAGGGTTGTGCAGTAGAAGAGTGGAGATGTGGACTAGGGTGTGCAGTCGAAGAGTGGAGGTGTGGACTAGGGGTGTGCAGTAGAAGAGTGGAGGTGTGGACTAGGGGCGTGCAGTAGAAGAGTGGAGGTGTGGGCTAAGGGTGTGCAGTAAAAGAGTGTCGGTGTGGACTAGGGGTGTGCAGTAGAAGAGTGGAGGTGTGGACTAGGGGTGTGCAGTAGAAGAGTGGAGGTGTGAACTAGGGGCATGCAGTAGAAGAGTGGAGGTGTGGACTAGGGGTGTGCAGTAGAAGAGTGGAAGTGTGGGCTAAGGGTGTGCAGTGGAAGAGTGTCGGTGTGGACTAGGGGTGTGCAGTAGAAGAGTGGAGATGTGGACTAGGGGTGTGCAGTAGAAGAGTGGAGATGTGGACTAGGGGTGTGCAGTAGAAGAGTGGAGGTGTGGAATAGGGGTGTGCAGTAGAAGAGTGGAGGTGTGGACTAGGGGCGTGCAGTAGAAGAGCGGAGGTGTGGACTAGGGGTGTGCAGTAGAAGAGTGGAGGTGTGGACTAGGGGCGTGCAGTAGAAGAGTGGAGGTGTGGACTAGGGTGTGCAGTAGAAGAGTGGAGGTGTGGGCTAAGCGTGTGCAGTAGAAGAGTGGTGGTGTGGACTAGGGGTGTGCAGTAGAAGAGTGGAGGTGTGGGCTAAGGGTGTGCAGTAGAAGAGTGGTGGTGTGGACTAGGGGTGTGCAGTAGAAGAGTGGAGGTGTGGGCTAAGGGTGTGCAGTAGAAGAGTGGAGGTGTGAACTAGGGGCGTGCAGTAGAAGAGTGGAGGTGTGGACTAGGGGTGTGCAGTAGAAGAGTGGAGGTGTGGACTAGGGGTGTGCAGTAGAAGAGTGGAGGTGTGGACTAGGGGTGTGCAGTAGAAGAGTGGAGGTGTGGACTAGGGGTGTGCAGTAGAAGAGTGGAGGTGTGGACTAGGGGTGTGAAGTAAAAGAGTGGAGGTGTGGACTAGGGGTGTGCAGTAGAAGAGTGGAGGTGTGGACTAGGGGTGTGCAGTAGAAGAGTGGAGGTGTGGGATAGAGGGGTTGGGGTGTGGAGTAGAGGGGTGGGGGTGTAGAGTAGAGGGGTGGGGGTGTGGAGTAGAGGGGTGTGGAGTAGAGGGGTGGGGGTCTGGAGTAGAGGGGTGGGGGTGTGGAGTAGAGGGGTGGGGGTGTGGAGTAGAGGAGTGGGGGTGTGGAGTAGAGGGGTGTGGAGTAGAGGGGTGGGGGTGTGGAGTAGAGGGGTGGGGGTGTGGAGTAGAGGGGTGGGGGTGTGGAGTAGAGGGGTGGGGGTGTGGAGTAGAGGGGTGTGGAGTAGAGGGGTGGGGGTTTGGAGTAGAGAGGTGGGGGTCTGGAGTAGAGGGGTGGGGGTGTGGAGTAGAGGAGTGGGGGTGGGCAGTAGAGGGGTGGGGGTGTGGAGTAGAGGGGTGGGGGTGTGGAGTAGAGAGGTGGGGGTCTGGAGTAGAGGGGTGGGAGTGTGGGGTAGAGGGGTGGGGGTGTGGAGTAGAGGGGGTGGAGTAGAGAGGTGGGGGTCTGGAGTAGAGGGGTGGTGGTGGGGGTAGAGGGGTGGGGGTGTGGAGTAGAGGGGTGGGGTCTGGAGTAGAGGGGTGGGGGTGTGGGGTGGGGGTGTGAACGAGAGGGGTGGGGGTGTGGGGTGGGGGTCTGGAGTAGAGGTGTGGCGGGTGGGGCAATGTTGTCGAGGTGTCGAGTCGGGCTGCGGCGACGCGGTTGTCTTTGTGACTGCGACCCTCTGCACCCCCACCCACACCTAGCCCTCCCCCACTCTCCCCTCTCTGGGGGGAGGGTTCTAGGAAATTGATCCAAACTATATCGCAATCGCTCATCCCCCCCCCCACCTTCCTCTCATCCCCCCCGCGGGATCGAGGATCAAACGCCAAGGACGCACGGGCATGGACGCCTCTGCTGCTGCTGATACTGCTGCTGTTCGTACTAAGAGTGCTGCTTGCACTGACTGGCATTGCTGCTGCTGCTGATACTGCTGCTGTTCGTACTAAGAGTGCTGTTTGCACTGACTGGCATTGCTGCTGCTGATACTGCTGCTGTTCGTACTGAGAGTGCTGCTTGCACTGACTGGCATTGCTGCTGTTGCTGATACTGCTGCTGTTCGTATTAAGAGTGCTGCTTGCACTGACTGACATTTCTGCTGCTGCTGCTACTGCTGCTGATACTGCTGCTGTTCGTACTGAGAGTGCTGCTTGCACTGACTGGCATTTCTGCTGCTGCTGGAGACAGTGCTGCTACTGCAGGAGCTTGTAGTGCTGCTCCTACTGGTGCTGCCGCTGCTGCTGGGGTCTGGATGAGGTTGGTGCTGCTGGAGCGAGTGGCCGGCTGAGGGGTGGGAGCGTGACCCCCCCACGGAATGGGTGTGTAATGGTTTGTGTTGTGATGGGGAGCGGTAGTGTAGCGGTTTGCGCGCTGCGCTACGAACCCGGCGGCCCGAGTTCCATTTCCGCTCACGGCCATCACCATTTAAGATGTTCTGAACCGGTCATGTGCCTTCCCTAGGTCGACTCAGCCTCAAATGAGTACCTGGTGCGATGTGTGAACATCGTCACAAGGGAGACAAAGGCGGCAGGGCGTGGTGTTGGCCACCCACCCCTTCGTGTGCCGTGCCGGCTTTCATAGGTGCTCGCTAACATAACTTGCCCCAATAGTCATCTAAGGCTATACGGGAGATTTTGTCTTTGTTTTATTTTGTGATTGGTGGCGTGTTCAGTTGATTTTGTTTCACGATGTGGTGAGAAGTCAAGAACTCGGGTTTGGAGTCTCGTCTACCAAGAGAGCGACCTGGGGCATTAGTCTGCCAGTAGGGCGCGATTATTGCTTCTGCTGCTGTGAAATGACAATTGAAGAATTCGCGATGTCATTTTCGAATCGGGCAAACGTGGCTCCCTGACGCCTGCACACAAATGACCTCCATTGTGACGGAGAGGGCGCTGAGTGCTGTCGCGGACGTTGCACGCACGGGAATAATTGGGGCGGCCGCTGGGAATCGAACCGCTGCCGCTGGCTGTAGGTGGTGTGGTGAAGGTTGTGTTTATGGGTGACGGTGTGATGGGTGTTGCGTGCTTTGTCGCGGGTGATGTGTGACGTGATGGGTGATTGTCCATGCGCAACGCGAGATGTGTGGTCGCTGTATTTTGTCTGACGGATGGACAGGCTTGTGTGTGATTGGGTGAAGAGCGATGGGTGATGTTTCCTGTCATGTATGATGTGTGTACAGTACTTTGCGACGAGTGATGTGTCTGTCATGTACGAGCTGTGCACCGCGTGATAAGTGCCCCTGTTATGTAATTTTGGGCGCTGGGTGGTGATGTTTGGGTGCGGAAGGGTCGACATCGTTAGCTGGAGTGGTGGGGGAGAGGAGGGGTAAATGGGGTTCAGGAAAGACAAGACAATGGGAGTGGGAAAGATTTATACACAGCGAGAGACAAAGGGGTACTAGGAGGCATTGGCGGTCAGAGCGAGGGGGAGTAGGTGGAGAGATCGGGGGACTGAGACAGGAGCAGCGAGACGCCGGAGGGACGGGAAGAGGATGAGGCGGGAAGGCGTCTGGGGGGGCCGAGGAGACGGAGGACGAGGTGACTCGAGCGGTGGGAGTAGGGGGTGGGGTGGGGGGGGCATGGTAGTAGGGGGTGGGGTGGGGGGGCATGGGAGTCGGGGGTGGGGTGGGGGCATGGGAGTCGGGGGTGGGGTGGGGTGGCTAGGGAGTAGGGGGTGGGGTGGGGGGGCATGGGAGTAGGGGGTGGGGTAAGGGGGCATGGGAGTCGGGGGTGGGGTGGGGGGCTAGGGAGTAGGGGGTGGGGGGGCATAGGAGTAGGGGGTGGGGTGGGGGGGCACGGGAGTAGGGGGTGGGGGGCATAGGAGTAGGGGGTGGGGTGGGGGGCACGGGAGTAGGGGGTGGGCGGGGGTAGGAGTTGGGGGGAGAGGCGCGACGATTTTCTGATGCGGACTGAATCTTAATGCGGTGACGTCACCACCGTCGAAATCCAGCAGCAGCAGAAGCAGCAGCAGCAGAGAGGAGGAGCGGGGAGCTCTCGCGCTTCATCACGGGGGCCCCGCGCCTCCCTGCCCCCCGCGGGCTCTGCCTAGGGGCCCTGGCAGCACCATGCGTGCCCCGTGGGTGCTGTGGGCCCTGGCGGTGCTGGCTGAGGTGAGGAGGGAGACTCCGTCTGGTGCCGATTCACATCCCGCGATCCCCTCCTTTGTGCTGCGGCGAGCGCCGCCTGGCTCGGTGATCGACACCGCTACCATCATCACCACCATCAACATCATCATCACCACCATCATCATCACCACTACCACCATCATCATCATCATCACCACCATCATCATCACCACTACCACCATCATCATCACCACCATCATCATCACCACTACCACCATCATCATCATCACCACCACCATCACCACTACCACCACCATCATAATCATCACCACCACCGCCATCATCATCACCACCACCGCCATCATCATCACCACCGCCACCATCACCATCATCACCACCATCATCATCACCGCCACCACCATCACCACCACCATCATCACCACTACCACCATCATCATCACCACCACCATCATCACCACTACCACCATCATCACCACTACCATCATCATCATCACCACCATCAACATCATCGCCACCGCCGCCACCACCACCATCATCACCACCATCAACATCACCGCCACTACCATCACCACCACCATCATCACCACTACCACCATCATCATCATCACCACCACCGCCATCATCATCACCACCACCATCATCATCACCAGCGCTCTCGCTGTTTCCATCTTCACCGCCACTACCATCATCATCACCATCATCACACTCATCACCATCATCACCAGCGCTCTCGCTCTCTTCATCATCATGGATACCACCATCATCATCCTCACCACTATGAACACCACCACCATCATCTCTAACGCTTCCGCTGTTGCCATGGTCATCATCATCAGCATCGTTGTGGCGGTCCTCATCGTGATCATCATCTGCGGGTCACCGCCATCATCATCGTCGTGGTCACGCTGCGCGCGCGCCTCCCCTCCATCCCTGGTGCACTGAGCGGGGTGCGATGAGCGGGGTGCGATGAGCGGGGTGCGATGAGCGGGGTGCGATGAGCGGGGTGCGATGAGCGGGGTGCGATGAGCGGGGTGCGATGAGCGGGGTGCGATGAGCGGGGTGCGATGAGCGGGGTGCGATGAGCGGGGTGCGATGAGCGGGGTGCGATGAGCGGGGTGCGATGAGCGGGGTGCGATGAGCGGGGTGCGATGAGCGGGGTGCGATGAGCGGGGTGCGATGAGCGGGGTGCGATGAGCGGGGTGCGATGAGCGGGGTGCGATGAGCGGGGTGCGATGAGCGGGGTGCGATGAGCGGGGTGCGATGAGCGGGGTGCGATGAGCGGGGTGCGATGAGCGGGGTGCGATGAGCGGGGTGCGATGAGCGGGGTGCGATGAGCGGGGTGCGATGAGCGGGGTGCGATGAGCGGGGTGCGATGAGCGGGGTGCGATGAGCGGGGTGCGATGAGCGGGGTGCGATGAGCGGGGTGCGATGAGCGGGGTGCGATGAGCGGGGTGCGATGAGCGGGGTGCGATGAGCGGGGTGCGATGAGCGGGGTGCGATGAGCGGGGTGCGATGAGCGGGGTGCGATGAGCGGGGTGCGATGAGCGGGGTGCGATGAGCGGGGTGCGATGAGCGGGGTGCGATGAGCGGGGTGCGATGAGCGGGGTGCGATGAGCGGGGTGCGATGAGCGGGGTGCGATGAGCGGGGTGCGATGAGCGGGGTGCGATGAGCGGGGTGCGATGAGCGGGGTGCGATGAGCGGGGTGCGATGAGCGGGGTGCGATGAGCGGGGTGCGATGAGCGGGGTGCGATGAGCGGGGTGCGATGAGCGGGGTGCGATGAGCGGGGTGCGATGAGCGGGGTGCGATGAGCGGGGTGCGATGAGCGGGGCGCAGCGCGCGCGGTGTGCGGGGTGCGGCGTTCAGAGTGTGCACGGTGCAGGGTGAGCTGTGCAGGGTGGAGGCGGTGCATTGTGCTGGGAGCAGAGACAAGGGATGGAGGGGTGCACCGTTCTGGGCACAAAGATGCAGGGCGTAGGGATGCGTAGTTTAGAATGCGCTGGTGGGGGGCACGTGAAGAGACGAAGCAGGGTGCAGACGCGCAGCGTGAGCGTAGAGAGGCAGAGTGGAGGGATGCAGTGCAGAGCGATGCAGGGCGCAGAGAGGCAGAGTGGAGGGATGCAGTGCGATGCAGAGCGCAGAGAGTCAGAGTGGAAGGATGCAGTGCAGTGTGATGCAGCGCATAGATAGGTAGGATGCAAGCACATGTGATACGTGAATAGCCGTAGCAGGGCGCCGATATTTCAGGGTGTGGTGTCCAGAGGCAAGGGACACAGGGAAACAGGGCGCGGGGAGATGCGAGATGCAGGGGGTGCAGGGAGTGTGGGTGCCGACTTAGAGCGGTGGCGGGACGCGAGCGGATACGAGACTCAGGCATGCGGGGTGCAAGATTCATGGTGCTGGTTGTAGGAAACGAGGTTTGCTACGTGCAGGGTGCTGGGTACGATGTGTAGGGTGCAATATATAAAATGCTGGGTGCGATGTGCAGGGTGCTTATGCAGGGTGCTGGTGCAGGTTGTTATCTATTGACGGGGCTTGGATGACCGCTCTGGCAGATGAAGTGTGTCGGTGTGTGTCTGCTCGTGTGTGGGTGTGTATCTGCATATGTGTCGGTTTGTGTGTTTTGCGTTTGTGTACCGGCCGTGTCTGTGGTGTGTATTTCAGTGTCCCTGTGCGTGTGTGTCCGTGGGGAGCGGTAGTGTAGCGGTTAGCGCACTGCGCTACGAACCCCGGGTTCCACACGGCCAACACCGGTAACGAATATCTGAACCGTTGCTGAGCCTCCCCTAGGTCGACTCAGCCTCAAATTATTATCTGATGCGGTGTGTAAACATCGCCATTGGGGAGACAAAGGCGGTCAGGGGTGGATCTGGCCACCCACCAGAGCGTGCACCGTCCTGGCCTTCATAGGAGCTCGCTAACAGCATTCACCCCAACACTCTGTCAAGGCTATACGGGGGATCTTTGTCTTCGTGCATTTCAATTGCGGCGGTGCGTCAGCGCGTCCGCGTTTGTGCGAATCTACGCGGTTGTCTTTGTGTCCCTGCGCGTCCCTGCCCGCGTGTCTTTGTATCGATGGTTCGGATTCGCGTGCGTCTGAATGCGCCTCTTGTCCGATGTCTCGAGACTTCGTCTGCACCATCGCGGACCGGGAGGCTCGCCCCAGCCGGCCCTCACAGTGGGGCCATCAACGTGCCCCCCCACTCCCCCCCCTCCCCTCAATAGGTGCTCGCTAACAGCACTTGGCCCCAATAGGCTCCATGCGGCTACACGGGGGTCTTTGTCATTGTGCGCGTGTGTGGCTGTAGATTGTCTGCGTGGTGGGGAGCGGTGGCGTAGCGGTTAGCGCTTCGCTGCGCTACGAACCCGGCGACCCGAGTTCGATTCCCGCTCACGGGCAACTCTGGCGACGATTATTTGAACCGGTTTTGGGCCTCCCCTAGGTCGCCTCCGACTCAAATGAGTACCTGGTGTGATGTGTAAACATCGCCATTGGGGAGACAAAGGCGGTCGGGCGTGGTGCTGGCCACCCACCCCCTCGTGTATCGTCACGGCCTTCATAGGAGCTCGCTAACAGCACTTGCCCCAACAGTCTGTTACAGGCTATACGGGGGATCTTTGTCTTTGTGTGAATCTGCAGGCCTTGCTCGGAGTCTGTGCGCGCCGCGTCCTCGAAGCTCCGAGTCGAGGACAGCGCCTTCACCCGGGTACGAACCCAGCCCCTCTGGGCGCTCACTCGCGCTCCTCGTTTGCCTGGCGAGTCCCGGCGTTTATCACCATCGTCCAGAACGCACCACTCACGTGCAGCCCCTCCTGGTGGCTGCGGGTCGTTTATTCGGCTCCGTCTCCCCATGATGTCCACCCGTAACTTGAGACTCGCAGCTGCCAACTCTTCCGAGTCACGAGCAAAGGCCTCCTCCAGTTCGGGCACAGGGCGCGTGCGCGAGAGGATTCCATCTCCGGAGAGGCGCACGCGGTCTCTTTGCGAGGAACACAACGAAACGTCGGAATACCGCGTCCGCGTTGGAGATCCCAGTTCCCGTTTTACAGAATCCGGCGTGAAGCAGCTCGGCTGATCTATGACGCTGCGCTCCCCGATAAATTCCGGTCACGCTTTCCCCGTATCGTTTGGTGGCTTGCTTTATTTCTCACTCGCGTATCGCTTCTGCGTTAACCTTGCTGACGTAAGTGGGAGGCTGTCGATTTCTAAGCGGGGGTTTATCTGGCGCGGATTCCCGGCACAAAAGAATTGCGGTCATGTTTTTCTTCTTCCCATTTTTACTCAAGCGGTAGGTGAGCGGGTCAACCGCGTGACCTCTTGACCCCCCCCCCCCATCACGTTGACACCCCCCCTCCACCCCCCGCAGTGGAGGTGGTCACGTGCTCGGGGAACGTGAGCGGTGCGCACGTGGAGCGGACGCCACGTGGGGCGCAGCGCTGCTCCCCCGCGGAGCCGCACCCCCACGGCTCCCCCCCGGGTCGCCGCGACTCTAAGGCACGTGGACGAATCTAAACGCGCTATCTGAACGCGCAATCTAAACACACAATCTAACACACACACAATCTAACACACACAATCTAACACACACAATCTAACACACACAATCTAAGCGCGCAATCTAAACACACAATCCAACACACACAATCTAACACACACACACAATCTAACACACACAATCTAACACACACAATCTAAGCACGCAATCTAAACACAATCCAACACACACAATCTAACACACACACAATCCAACACACACAATCTAACACACACAATCTAAACACACAATCCAACACACACAATCTAACACACACACAATCTAACACACACAATCTAACACACACAATCTAACACACACACTCTAACACACACAATCTAACACACACAATCTAAACACACAATCTAAACACGCACTCTCGCGAGTAGTTTTTTGTGTAGCGTCGTTGTCGTCGTCCATGCAAATCGCAGCTCACAATCGCTGAAGAGGAACCACAGACACGAGCGGGGAGGTCGCTGCGAGGCGGTGAGCGGCTCCCTACCACCAACGATTCCTCATCGGTTATCTCGACGTTCAGATGCTTCCCACCAGTTACTGGAGTCGTTCATACACGTGGGAGGAAACCGGGAGCACGCGGGGAAAAAAACCCACGCATGGAAAGGGGGCAACGCTGTATCTCATTCCAAAGGCACAGAAGATGTTGGTTCACATTTGCTGTACTACATTCTACTGTTAAGCAAGGGTTTGGCACCTCGATGGGCGTGATGACGACGGTGATGATACAGATCGCCAGGATGTTGAAGAACATCGTGATGAGAGTGGCGAGGTTGACATAGTCAACGTGACGATGATAATTGTACCGATGATGACACTGAAGCTTCAGATGATCGGCATGATGTTGCTTCTTCTGCTGAAGATGTCATGACGATGATGCTGATGATGATGATAATTGTCATCATAATGATAAATGATGCTGATTGTCGTGATGATGATTCTGGTTATGCAACTGAATGATGATGTTGATTGTCATGACAATGACGCTACAGCTGCTGATCACTGTCCGGATGATGATGGTGGTCGTTCTGATATTGCTGCTTCTGCTACTGATAGTGATGGCTGTTGTCGTGCTGTTGATGCTGCTGCTGATGCTACTACTACTGCTGATGATGATGTTGCTGCTACTGATGATGGTTGTTGTGCTGTTGATGCTGCTGCTACTGCTGATGATGACGATGCTGCTACTACTGATGCTGCTGTTGCTGATGATGGTTGTTGTGCCGTCGATGCTGCTGACGACGGCCAGCCTGTGGGTGCCCGTGAGCGCGTGTTCTCGTGGAGGGAGCTCAGCCGAGGTGGGGACGCCTCCCGGCGGCAGAAGCGCGACTGGGTGATCCCTCCCATCAGCGTGCCTGAGAACGACAGGGGTCCCTTTCCCAAGCACCTCGTCACGGTCAGGGGCCGTCACCTCGTCACACGCCCGCACGCACCTCGTCACGCCTCGTCACGCACGCACTCACCTCGTCACACCTACACTCACCTCGTCATGCACTCACCACGTCACACACCCACTTACCTCGTCACGCACTCACCTCGTCACACCCACACTCACCTCGTCACGCACGCACTCACCTCGTCACACTCTTATCCCGTGACATACCCACTCACCTCGTCACACCTCGTCACGCACGCACTGACCTCGTCACAAACACCCTCACCTCGTCACATACTCACCTCGTCAGACACCCAGAAAGACACACTCTGCATGTCCCCACAGAGACACGCTCTTCGTGTCCACACAGAGACAAGTCACGTGCCCACAGAGTGAGTGGGCCCACACCGAGGCCTCGCATCACCGTCGGTGTCCGCGCCCCTTCCCACCGCACGCGTGAACCAATCAGCACTCATCAGACTCCCTGTCTATTCTCCACCGCCACCACCGTAACACAAGACAAAGATCCCCCAAATAGCCTACGCAAGTGCTGTTAGCGAGCACATATGAAGGCCGGCATGGCACACGAGAGAGGGGGCGGGGGGGGCAGCACCACGCCCGGTCGCCTTTGTCTCCCTAGTGGCGATGTTTACACACCGCACCAGGTACTCATTTGAGGCTGAGGCGACCTAGGGGAGGCCCAGGACCGATTCAGATAATCGTCACCGGTGTTGACCGTGAGCGCGAATCGAGCTCCGGTCGCCGTGTTCATAGCGCAGCGTAGCGCTAACCACTACGCCACCGCTCCCCACCACCGCCACACACACAGACACAAGACAAAGATCCCCCGTGTAGCCTTCACCGCCTGTGAAGGCAAGTGCCGTTAGCGAGCACCTCTTAAGAAGGGGGGCACGGCGCACGAGGTGGCGGTGTGGCAAGCACCATGGCCGGCCCCCTCTGTCTCCCAAGTGCTGATATTTACACACAACGGCACCGGGTACACACTTGAGGCCGAGTCAACCTAGGGGATGCACAGGACCCGATTCGGAGAATTGCTCCTCACTCGTGATGCTATCCGTGGCTGGGAATAAAACGCAGGAGCTGAGATTTAGAATTCGGGTTCGCTCCGCGCGATGGGAGCTTTCCCGCAGGAACTTAAATTCTGCAAAAGTATCTCGGCGCGTGGAGCGAAACGTGGCCCATCGTGCCGAGCAACGCGCGGTGCGACCCGACCACACCAACCTCGCTGGGAGCTACACAGCAGCAGCAGCGGCGGCGGCGGCACAACGGGCAGTGCAATTACGGTCCCACTTGTCGTAGTAAGGAAATGAAACGCTTGCTCTTTCTATCCGTGGGGGTCCACGGGCAAACGTCCCTGCGTCTGCCCCCCTTAATCGGGAGCTCGGGCGCGTCTCACGGTTTGGGGGGCGTGGTGCCGTGCAGGTGAAGTCCGACAAGGACGGCAGCAGCGAGCTCCGCTACAGCGTGACGGGCCCCGGCTCCGACCTCCCTCCCATCGGCGTCTTCACCATCAACGCCATCACGGGCCGCCTGTACGTGACGCGCTCGCTGGACCGCGAGCACATCGCCAGCTACCAGGTGTGTGAGCACATCGCCACCTACCAGGTGTGTGAGCGCATCGCCACCTACCAAGTGTGTGAGCACATCGCCAGTTACCAAGTTTGTGAGCACATCGCCAGCTACCAGGTGTGTGAGCACATCGCCAGCTACCAGGTGTGTGAGCACATCGCCAGCTACCAGGTGTGTGAGCGCATCGCCAGCTACCAGGTGTGTGAGCGCATCGCCACCTACCAGGTGTGTGAGCGGATCGCCAGCTACCGGGTGTGTGAGCACATCGCCAGCTACCAGGTGTGTGAGCGCATCGCCAGCTACCAGGTGTGTGAGCACATCCCCAGCTACCAGGTGTGTGAGCGCATCGCCAGCTACCAGGTGTGTGAGCACATCGCCAGCTACCGGGTGTGTGAGCACATCGCCACCTACCGGGTGTGTGAGCACATCGCCACCTACCGGGTTTGTGAGCGCCGGCTGCAGGTGCCTGCGGCCTGCAAGGGGCAGGGGGAGGAGGAAGGGCGGCGCGGTCCGTGTGAGCCGGAGCAGATATCGGTACCATCGTCCGCAGGGGGTTGAGGTTAGAGTCTCGCTGTGAGGGTCAGGGTCTCGCTGTGAGGGTCAGGGTCTGACCGTGAGGGTCAGGGTCTCATTGTGAGGGTCAGGGTCTCATTGTGAGGGTCAGGGTCCCGCTGTGAGGACCAGGGTCTCGCTGTGAGGGTCTGTGTCTCATTGTGAGGGTCAGCGTCAGCACCTCACGGTGTTGATGTCTCCACAGCTGCGAGGCCACGCCGTGGACCTGAACGGCAACCAGGTGGAGAACGCGGTGGAGCTGCTCATCCAGGTGATCGACCAGAACGACAACAAGCCCGACTTCTCGCAGGCCCTCTACAACGGCTCCGTGCCCGAGGGCTCCCCGCCCGGTGAGAGGTCGCTCCGGCGGGCGGGCGGGCGGAGGCGGAGTAGACGGAGTGGGTTAACGGGCGAATGGGGAGCCACGCTCCCGTCATCATTCAGCTTAAGTAGACGTGGGGATGAAGAGGGGGTACGGTGGGGGAGCCGGGGGAGGGGGGTTACTCCTGCGCTCCGCTCTCCGCTCCGCTGATCGCGCCGTCCTTGGGAGATGCGGGGGGGGGGGACGTTACGCGGGGGGGGGGCTTCTCCGCCGCGTTCGATCGACGCGCGAGCGGAACGCGCGTCGATAGCGCCGAGTGATGGATGCGTGGCCCTGCCACTCGTTCATCATCGCAGGGGAGTTCTCACCACTCCCGACCCTCCGTCCCATCTCAAGGCCCGACCGGCCCCCGTGGCCCCCCGGGGGAGTGGAGATTCACCAAGTCGATGGGACGCGCTCGGCTCGCATCCTGTCCCCCTCGACTCCAACACTCCAAATCTCCACTCCCGTTATCCCCCACTACTCACCCTAATCCCCCTTTCACATCTCCATTCTCCTCCACGTCTCCACTCCTAGAGCGCTCCACTCTCGACGTCTCGCTCCTCTCCCCTTCCGTGCCCTTCGCGGGCACCGCAGTCCCATTGTGGCGGCCACTGAGAAGCGGCCGCGCACCGACAGAAGGCGACCGAGCGTGACAGACACGACGAAGCACAAATTGGAAACACTAGACCCCCCCCCACCCTTCCCCCATCTAGTACCCGATCGGTTGCTGCTAAGATGTTCGCCGCAGCGATGTGTAAGTGTTGTGTGCCGCGATAGGCCTCGTGTGGCCGCAGGCGGGGCGAGCTGGAAGTGGCTACGGGCCGACACGTCCAGCCCGGACGCTGCTGGGCCCTCGTCCCGCACTCTCAACCCTCTCCACCGCAGCTTCTCTCAGCGCTGCCCCCCCCCCTACCACGCCGCTCCCTCCCCTCCCTCCCCGCTCCCCGTTCCCCCGCGCCGCGTGGCCCCTCCCCCGGCGAGGAGTCCGCTCCGCTGCCGGTGACGACGTCGCCGCTCTGCGCACTGAACCGACACACCGTCCCCCTCTCCCCGCCTCCTCTCATCCCCCTCTCCTCTCTTCCCTCTCCCCTCATCTCTCTCTTTTTTTACGATCAGAGGAAACAAGAAAATTATCGGTGTAGTCGGCACTTTGCTTCGTTCATCATTTCGTTTTTTTTGTTTTTTTTAATGCTTTGCTTTATGTAACCCCCCCCCTTTTAAATGAAAGACCCAACAAAATATATATTTTTAACTACGACAAGTGCTGCATCTGCACGCAGCCCTTCCCACAGTCAAACGGCCTCCGACGGATAGCTTATGCAGAGCTCTCCGTCATCTGCCACCGAGCACACGGCCTCCTCCAGCGCCCACTGCTCCTTGAAGGCCGGCACGGCGTGGGTCAGCCGCGCGTGGCAGAACTCCGGCCACACCCTGGCTCCGACCAGAGCGCGGAAGATGCCCAGGCTGCTGGCCGGACGTTGCCCCTCCAGGGCCACCTTCATTGCCCTGTATATGGCGAGCTTGGCATAGCCGAAGAGCACGTTGACCAGCCCCTGAAGATTCCTGCTCCCCTCAATTCACCCATCTCCCTTCTCTATTTTAATCATTCTCTTTTTCTCTCCCTCATCTCCCCCAACCTCCCTTCTATTATCTGTCCTTTAACCCCTTCCCCTCTGTCCCTCATCTCCCCCTAACCCTATCACGTCTCTCTTCACATCTCTCTCCTCTCCCATTTATCCTCGACCCGCATCTCCACCGACTCCCTGCTCCACCCCGTCTCTCCTTTCTTATCTCTTCCGCATCTCCCCGCTTTTATCTCTCCCCCTCGGGACCACGGCTCTCGGTGTGTGCCTCTCCGACCTTGTGGCTCACACTGAGACACAGCGGCTTCTCGTGGGTAATGGGGGGAGGGGGGGGCAGGGTCTGTTTCACTCCGGACTCTTCTAGGTCCGCTCAGCCTGAAATCAGTGCCTGATGCGGTGGGCGTCGGGGATTGATGCCATCAGAGGGCCATCAATAAAGGGCGCTCGACGACGAAAATATTGGAATTGGTTCTCGTTATAACCACGAATCAAGTCAGCCGAAATGCGCGCGTTCTCAACTCATCTCGGAAAAAACGCCCACACCGCTCCGAAAGTTCGCGAGCCGGCAATCATCTCCAGTGGAATGCCAGGAAGGAACGCACCGAATTGGCCACGCGTGAACACGTACTGGAGGAGGAATCCGATTAGCTATAAAGCTCTTTTTTCGCAGATGTCCAGTAGGCGTACCCACACTTTACCCCTCCCCACGCGATGACCCGCTGACCGGCTAACCGTGGTGAACCCCATGACTGCTGCCGGGTTGACAGTCAGTGGCATGAGCACCGTTGTTTCGAACAGCCGCGCCGTTAAAGAGGCGAATTCGTCCTGCGCGCTGCTCCCAGACGGCTCGATCTGTGCGGTGAAGCCCGTCATCGGGTTACCGGACAAAGCCGGAAAGAAAAAACACTGAAACATCCTCGTCCCAGTGGCTCGGCGGCAGAGCGAACGAGCGGCTCATAGACAAAGTGACGAGTTCAAATCCTGGTCGTGGGGGGCTAACTCGGCCCATCATCCTTTGGGCAGGGCATGCACGGGGGGGGGGGTCGATAAAACGAGCACCGACTCTGTACGGAAGTCAACACTGGACGTCTAACGGATAGACTCGGCCCCGCCAGAGGGATGTGGAACTTCCCACGTTTCCGGCGGAAAAAGTGCTTGTAAAATAATTCGATTTAAAAAAGAAAAAAAAACATTCCGGGGTGGCGAAGCGGCGCCGCGGGGGCCCGCCGGAGCGGCGAGGTGGCGCTGACCGCCGGTGCCGGCCGGGCAGGGACGCCGGTGATGCGGGTGCGGGCGGACGACGCCGACGACGCGGAGCAGCCCAACGGGATGGTGCGCTACAAGGTGGTGTCCCAGGAGCCCGAGCGGCCCTTCCCGCACATGTTCACCATCAACAACGCCACGGGGCTCATCAGCACCATCGCCTCCGGGCTGGACCGCGAGGTGCGCCCTCCCCGCAAACGCGTCGCTGCCTGCACCGTTGTACCTAGACAGGCCTACTTGCAGCACGCTCCCTGCACCATCAGACCTATACAGGCATACATCATGGTACCTGCCCCATCAAATCTATAGACTCACACAGCAAGGTACCTGCAACATCAAATCTATAGACTCACACAGCAAGGTACCTGCACCATCAAATCTATAGACTCACACAGCAAGGTACCTGCACTATCAGACCTATAGACTCACACAGCAAGGTACCTGCACCATCAAATCTATAGACTCACACAGCAAGGTACCTGCAACATCAAATCTATAGACTCACACAGCAAAGGTACCTGCAACATCAAATCTATTGACTCACACAGCAAGGTACCTGCAACATCAAGTCTATAGACTCACACAGCAAGGTACCTGCAACATCAAATCTATAGACTCACACAGCAAGGTACCTGCAACATCAAATCTATAGACTCACACAGCAAGGCACCTGCAACATCAAATCTATAGACTCACAAAGCAAGGTACCTGCAACATTGTACCTAGACAGACGGTACTTGCAGCATAGTACCTGCAGAATGGTACCTACAGCATGGTACATGTAACATCGTACCAGTAGCATCATAGCTATGCTTTGTACCTGCAGCAGTGTACCTTCATGACCCTATTGCCATCTCTCGTACACCATATGCTCAGCCTTGTACCCGTGTATGTGTCTCTATGGATGTGTGTGTCTCTGTATGCGCGTGTATGTGTGCATTGTGGGGGAGCAGTAGTGTAGCGGAAAGCGCACTGTGCTACGAATCTGGCGACTTGTGTTCGATTCCCGCTCACGGGCAACACCAGTGACGATGGGCATCCCCTAGGTCGACTCAGCCTAAAATGAGTACTTGGTGCGGTGTGTAAACATCGCCACTGAGGAGACAAAGGCGGCCGAGCGTGGTGCTGGTCACCCACCCCCTCGTGTGCCGTGCCGGTCTTCATAGGTACTCGCTTGCCCCAAAAGGCTTGCCCGACAGTCTGTTAAGGTTATACGGGGGATCTTTGTCTTTGCAAGATCTAATCACTTCCATCTGCTGCAGGCACTGCACGGTGTGCCTGAGTGTGTGTGTGTTATTATGCACGCGTGTGTATCTTGCCTTACGTGAACGCATTCATACCCGTGCATGTGTGCACGTGTTCAGTGTGTCTGTGTCATTTGTCTCTGTGCGTGCACGCGCACGTTTTTGTGTGACCGATGTGATGCGGTACGTACACGCACGTACGCGTCCAGGTCTGTGTCGGTGCGTGCGTGTGTGAGTCTCCGTGTGTGAGTCTCCGTGCCGCGAGACGCAACGACCCCCCCAACCCACCCCCACGTGCCGTGTGCGAGGCACCGCGCTCGGACTCCACTCCCCCTAAAGCCGCCTCTTAAACGGCGGTAATGAGCTGGGGGCCCTCGTGGGGACAGCCGTGGCGGTGAAAACACGATGCCCTGTGCCTCCGGATCCCAGATCCTGGGACCCCAGGCCCCGGATCCCTGACCTCAAGCCCCCGGCACCAAACCCCCATTCCAGCCGCGGTGACATCAGCCATTCGCGAAATTTAAAAAGTGGCGATTTTAATGAGAATCAAATTAAGCTTGCGCTGGGAGTGAAATTCCCTTCGGCCCACTTAGTCTAAAAATAACAACCCAGGAATGTGTCATTATGGCGACCCTTGTTTCTTGGCACTGTTAATAATATTCAAAATAGGAGTAATAATATTTGTTTATTTTGTTCAGCAAAGCTGCAAAGCTTAACAAAATTCTAATAAAGCTGTAGCTGGGCCTTGATGTGGTGTAGCAAGGCCTAATTGCATTGGGATGTTTGGCCAATCCCTTGTCAGGATATTTTTGTTCGCGGAAAATTTACGGATGATGGTAATTAATATTTTCGTACTATTGGTGGAACGTGTCGGAGAATACGTTGACCGATTAGATGGAGCGATGAAATTAGCTGGGGTATCGGTGTTGGGCGAACTATTATATGGTGGGATCTTGAGAGATAAAGGTGGCTCTTGGAGGCTTTTATCCAGCAATGGATTGACCATGGCTGATGATGATTACTAGGCGTGTAAAGATTCACCATTTAATATCGATTGTCATCCTTGCGATACGTCAGTGAATGTATTTAGGATCCGTCGCATTAACAGTGTTGTCACGCGCTAGGGGTTGGGGAATCTCGGTGATGTGGGCTGTGTCCGGCACACGACCTCATTTCACGCGTCCCACGGCCACACGAGGCCTGCCACTTCAAAACGGCACTCAACCACCGTTTATCCGAACATCACAGCCAACCTAATCGGTTACGGGGGAGGGGGGGGAGATATTTTTGACCTATTTTTAGCCAAAGGGGACTCTTGTTGCGGTGGCAGGATCTCGCTAACTTCAATAGTCGCTCGCTAACTTTGCCGTGACAGAAGGAGCCGGTGTACAGGCTGCGCATCCAGGCTACGGACATGGAGGGCACCTGGTTCGGCCTCACGAGCACGGCCCTGGCGGTCATCCACGTGATGGACGTCAACGACAACCCACCCGAGTTCCGGACCTCCACGGTAGGGCAGCTGCACGGCAGGGTGGCGCTATAAAGGGTGGCTCCATTTATAGGGTGCATCCACGGTGGAGCTGCTCCAAAGTAAGGCGGCTCCACAGTTGAGCTGCTCCACGGTGGGGTAGCTCCAGGGTAGGGCGGCTCCGTGGTAGTGCACCTCCACCCTAGAACGCCTTTGACGTCCATAGAGGCACCACCATCACCGTCACCGCATTTTCTTGAATAATGCGACGTCCACGAGCGATCGCCCACGATGCCGTCGGCGTACGGTCGCGACCTCGCGCGGTGGCTCCGCACAAAAGCGCGCGACGGCATCGACGTGTCGGATCGATCGGCCCGGCGTGGCTCTTGTGACCCCCCACCCCCCGACCCCCGGCTGCAGTTCTACGGCTACGTGCGGGAGAACGTGCGCGACGTCACGGTGGCCAACATGAGCGTGCTGGACCTGGACGGGCCCGGCACGGCCGCGTGGCGCGCCCGCTACGCCGTCCTCCGCGGGGACCCCGGCGGGCACTTTGCGGTGCACACCGACCCGCTCACCAACAACGCCATCCTCACCGTGGTCAAGGTGAGCGCCCCGGGGCGAGAAGCCACGGCGACGGGGCAAGTGGTGGGGCGAGGAACTGGGCTGAGCGAAGGGTGACGGCGGGTGAGGAGGACCGAGTGATGGTGAGCCGGCTGGACAGCTGAGATTGTTTTATTCTTAATGCCGCCAAAGGTCGTGTTCAGCTCTCAGCAACCCTTTGGTTCGTGTCCAGGGCTAGGGTTATGGTTTGTGGCTAGCTGTTAGTGTACGGGATTAGGGATAGCGTTAGGCCTATGGCTGAGATTGTTTTATCCTTATTGCCGCCAAAGGTCGTGTTCAGCTCTCAGCAACCCTTGGGTTAGTGTCCAGGGCTAGGGTTATGGTTTGTGGCTAGCTGTTAGTGTACGGGATTAGGGATAGCGTTAGGCCTATGGCTGTGAGGAAGGAAATGGTTTCACAGCCCTCCTCACCCCCGTCCTCCTCACCCCTCTCGCCCCCCGTCCTCCTCACTCCCCAGCCCGTGGATTACGAGGTGGACCGCCGCTTCGTGCTGTTGGTGGAGGCGAAGAACGAGGAGGAGCTGCAGGGATCCCCGTACGCGCCCTTCTCCACGGCCACCGTCTCCGTGGCCGTGAGCGACGACAACGAGGCGCCACGCTTCTGGCCCGAGCGGCGCACAGTGCGCGTGGCCGAGAACGTGACGCCCGGCACGGCCATCGGAAACCTGTCGGCCCGCGACCCGGACTCGGACATGAGGCAGACCGTGCGGTGGGTGAACACGCAGACGGACGCGCGCACGGACGCACACACCCAATACAAACACACACACACGCACACTTAGACACACCGTGCAGAAACTCCAGGAAACGGCAGATGGGAGTGATTACATCTTACAAAGACAAAGATCCCCCGTATAGGCTGAACAGACTGATGGGGCAAGTGCTGTTAGCGAGTAACACCTATGAAGGCCGGCACGGCACACGATGGTGGGTGGGCGGCCAGCACCACGCCCGGCCGCCTTTGCCCCCACCCCTGGTGGCGATGTTTACACACCGCACCAGGTAATCAATTAAGGCCGAGTCGACCTATGCGAGAGCAAATCGAACTCGGGCCGCCGAGTCCGTAGCGCAGCGCACTAACCGCTGAACCACCGCTCCACACTGGGATGCTCGCTGACGGCATTTGCCCCAACAGTCTGTTAAGGCTACGAGGGAGATTTTTGTCTTATATACACACACACCCAAACACTCACACACATACGCTGGTAACGATGATGATGATGATGATGCCGATGATGCTGTCCCAGGTTCTCGAAGCTCAGTGACCCTGCGGGCTGGCTGTCCGTCGACGCGCTCGGAGGTCGTGTGGTGACCACGGCCCCTCTGGACCGCGAGTCTCCCTTCGTCTCCTCCGGCTCCTACGTGGCCTCCTTCATCGCCACGGACGGCGGTGAGGCCCACGGCACGGCCCGTGTGCGGCCCACGGTCTCCTTTGTACCCCAGCACACGACCACCTGGCCTCCTGTAACTCGCTTCCTCTGTCTGTGCTGCGTATAAAATTAGGTGGGGAGTGGTTGCACAGTGGTTTAGGGCGCTGCGCTACAAACCCAGCGACCCAAGTTCGATTCCCGCCAATGGCAAACACCAGCGATGGATTAACTGAACCGGTCCTGGGCCTACCTTAGGTCGACTCAGCCTTTATCAGTACCTGGCGCGGTGTGCGGTGCTGGCCACCCACCCCCTCCCGTGTGCCATGCCGGCCTTCATTGCTGCTCCTCACTGACAGATCTTGCCCCAACGGTCTCTGTCAGATGCTACATGGGGGGGGGGGGGGGAATCTTTGTGTGTGTGTGTCTGTGTGTGTCTGTGTGTGTCTGTGTGTGTGTCTGTGTGTGTGCGTGTACACAGCTGGCGGCACGGGCACGGGCTCACTGCTGTTGGAGCTCGTGGACATGAACGACAACGCGCCGGCGCTGCTGTCGCGCGAGGCCGAGCTGTGCCTGCGTCCCCGCGCGCGCCGCTCCCTGAACCTGACGGCGACGGACGCGGACGGCGACCCCAACGGGCAGCCCTTCTCCTACGAGCTCGCGCCCTCGCCCCCTGACGTGCGCCGCAACTGGACCATCAGGCGCATCGACGGTGCGACGGCGCCCGACTCTCGAGAGGGTGTCTCCCCCCCCCCCCCAAATGGGTCAAAGGGGAGCGCTCCGGGGGTTCGGGGGTCGACTCGGAACGCCCGCGGGTTGAAGGGGTCAAAGGGCAGCCTCGTTTTGAGAGGTTGAAAGGGAACGTGAAGTTCAGGGGTCAAAGAGGAATCCATGGATTCCGGACAGGCGTGTTTTATGTTTAACATTTCTTTATGCCCCCTTTAAATAAGGTCATGCTACGAGGCCGGTTCAGGGGATGGAGGGGGTCTAGGTCACCGAGGGGACAAAAGGGGGCTCAAACAGGTCGAGAGGGAAAAGGGGAATGATTGGCGGTAAAGGGGGGAGGGTCCGGGAAAACAAGGGGATGGAGCATCCAGGACGCCCAGGGGGACGAGGGGAATCTGGGGACGTGGAGTAATGAAGGGGATGTAGGGAATCATGGCTGGCTTCAGGCATGCAATGGCTTACTCCTTGAGAACGACGTCACGGCTGCACTGGGAAACCAGGGCGACGCGTCATTGCGGCAAACGCGCCTGCCGGATTAATCCAGGGTGGCCTGCCGCGTTCGAACCGCGAACCTCGGCAACAGCGAGCGGCGAACGCGCCGCCATCGCTGGTCCACCGTCACCCGCCACCACCCCCCCGCTCCCCGGGCGACCTCTCTCTGTGCGCGCGTCCCGCCCCAAGCAGGCCGCAGCGTGGAGCTGCAGCTGCGCGTGCCGCAGCTGCCCGTGGGCCGCTACGCGGTGCCCGTGCGCGTCACCGACTCGGGGAACCCGGCCATGAGCAACGTCTCCGTGCTGCTCGTCAAGGTCTGCGTCTGCACCGACGACGGCGAGTGCGCGCTCGTGCAGCCGCTCGTGGCCGCTCTCGGCACCGGCGCCATCATCGCCATCCTCACCTGCGTGTTGCTGCTGCTGGGTGAGACTCCAGAGCCGGGCGTCCCGTCCACTACCACCCCCCGCCACCACCGCGCTCGCTTGTGCTGGAGTGCTGTGTCCCCTCCCCCCCCGCGTGTCCCCGTGCCCCTGCGACCGCGTGTCTATGCCCCGTGTACGTCGCCACATTTATCTCGTCTTTCTCCCCATCTCCCTGTGTTGACGCCTCTATCTTCTGTCCTCGCATTCAAACGTCTCCGTGTGCCTCGATGTCCACATGCCCCTACATCCTCTGTCAGCATGTCCCCTGTGTCCCCGTGTCCCCCACGTGTCCCCATGGCTTCATGCCCCATGTCCCCTGTGTCCCCGTGTCCCCATGTCATCTTGTCCCCGTGTCCCCCACGTGTCCCCATGGCTTCATGCCCCATGTCCCCTGTGTCCCCGTGTCCCCATGTCATCTTGTCCCCGTGTCCCCCACGTGTCCCCATGGCTTCATGCCCCGTGTCCCCTGCGCGCCTGCAGTCCTGGTGCTGCTGCTCGCCGCGTACTCGCGCCGCCGCGACAAGGACCACGCGGCCAAGGAGCTGCTCTTCGAGTCGGAGGAGGACGTGCGCGACAACATCCTGCGCTACGACGAGGAGGGCGGCGGCGAGGAGGACCAGGACTACGACCTGAGCCAGCTGCAGCGCCCGGGAGACTCCCCCCTGCGTCGGCCGGAGTGCGCCGGCCGCGGCGGCGGCGGCGATGCCGGCACGGCCCTCCGGCGCCTGGACGAGAGGCCCACGGCCAGCCCGGGCCCTCGCTACCCGAGCCGGGCAGCGGGGCCCCCGCAGCACCCCTCCGACATGATGGACTTCATCGGGGAGGTGAGGAGCGGGAACGGGAGACTTTTGGGACGGGACGGGGCGGTGGTAGGGGGGGGGAACGGATCGTGCGTGGGTCGTGAGAGCTGCACACCGTGGCGGGGTTTGGCCATGTGTGCGTGCGCGTGCACATCCGTGTGTGTCCGTGCACGCGACCGTGTGTTTGTGCACGCGTGTTCGTACTTGCATGTCGACGCATCTGTGTGTGTAGGCGTACACCTGTGTCCATGTAAATGACGGGAAAACCCATCCCAACAGAAGAGTGAATGCGAGCTGGAAACGAATATATTCAATAACACTGCACGTGCTTTTGCACACTCGTGTGCGCTGTTTAATCTACGCGCGCGCTTTATACACGCGTACCAGTGTTTGTGCATTGGACTTTTTGTTGTTGCATGTGCGTCCACGTGTCCGCGTGTACACACACAGCCGTGCGCCTGTGTCTGCGCGTCTGTACCTGTGTGTGTGCGTGTTCATACTTTCGCTCGCACGTCTGCACCCGTGAGCGTTCACCGGCGCGTTCCGTGCTCCCGCGCGCGTCCCACGCAGAGCCTCCGCGCGGCCGACCAGGACCCTACGGCGCCCCCGTACGACTCGCTGCTCATGTTCGACTACGAGGGCAGCGGCTCGACGGCGGGCTCCCTCAGCTCCCTCGAGTCCTCGTGCTGCTGCGGGGGCACCGAGGGCCCCTCCGGGGGGGACCCCGACCACGACTACGCCTACCTGCGCGAGTGGGGGCCCCGCTTCCGCCGCCTCGCCGACATGTACGGCTCTCACGAGTAGCGGCGGGCGGGGACGACCCCTCGCCCCGTGCCAAGTCTCCAGTGCCAAGTCTCGTCCCCTCCATCCCCTCGTGCCCTCCTCCTCCCTTCCTCTGCCCCCCACCCATCCCTACCTACTCAGCCTTTTTCCGAACGGGCTTCATTTCTCACCGATGATTTTCCGCGTCGCTAGCTCGAGTTGGGTAGGTGGCACGTGGCCCTGGCTAGCCACAGCCACCGCAAAAGTGGAGGTATGCTGGATGCGGCGGGTCAGTCGTGAATACATTTAAGTCCTGGGGGCTACAACACCGGAGTACCCCCCCCCACCCCACACTCTGCGGCGGGGCGAAGAGAGGCCACCCGCTCCACCAGAGCGTGCCATGCTCTCGGGAAGAAGCCCCGCGGGCGTTGAGGCTTGGCGCTCGACGCCCACGCGGCTGGGCGCTGTCGGCCGTGGCCTCGTGAATATCCCGGAGCCCCCGCGATCACGGGAAGAAGCCACCGAGTAGCACGAGGCCGCCGCCCGCGATGGAAACCACTCATGGACGAGGCCCCCCCCCCCCCCCCCCCCTCAACTGGCGGGGGGTCCCGTGGGCCATGAGTCCAGCCGCGAGCTGGGGCAGCGTTGCGCACGCCGTGTGATGGCGGAGCTGCCGCGTGGAGATGGAGGTCTCAAATCTCTACCCGCACGCCGCGGCCCTCGCCGAGTCTCCACACGGGAGCTCTCATTTCACGCCCGTCACTGAGAGGTGGTGGTGGTGGTCGTGCTTGGCGTGTGTAACCATTGTGCGGGTGGCGGTGGTGGCCCAGTGAGATGTCGCCTCCCGTGTTTGCCCCAGGGGCTGGCTGCACGAAATACCTTTGGCCAGGTTCGTTCACAAGTTGGCGCGGCAGTTGCATCGTGCAAACATTCCCATGTTCTCCCGATTGCAAGACGCACTTGATCCCTACCCTCGATTCTAAAGCAAACCTTGGGGGTGGGGGGGTCTGGCAGTTGCGTGAGCGTGACCAGATATGCATAACTTTATTGACACAGGGCACAAGTTAGGGGTGCGTCTTACTTTCAAGAGCATCTTATAATCTGGAGAATGTGATATTTGTCTTAAGTCTGATGATGATAATAATACCAACGTGATTTCTTTAACGCTCCATCTTTGTGTTCGTGTCCTTTCTCTGTACGTGGCGGGTTTGTTCCTCCTCCTCCTCGCGATGAAGGATGAAGTATCGTAACACGACTAACGCTTCAATGAACGCCGCGACGTCCAATGCTGTAAATATACGTTTGAAAGAAAAAAGTGTTCGCATCTCAACGAAACGGCCAAAACGCATCGAATGGCCTTGCCGTTTGCCCCACCACCCCCCCCCCCCCCCCCACCATTGGCGGCTGTGGGGATGTCGGCGCAACTTCACCAAAAAATCCGATGACCCCTTCCCTCGTCAGGCAGGATTCCCCTTTGCCGTGCGAGGTCTCGCTCAAGGGAGAGAGGCGCTGGCTTAGTCAACGGAGGGCAAGTGCAAAAAAAAACGTAATTGTTGTACTGTACTACGCTCCAACCGTCTATGCGCGCCACCTTCAACTGTTGTACGATCTAAGACCCCACCACCACCCGCATGGCGTAGGGGGAGGCTCACATCCAGCAGTGGATTGACCAAAGGGCTCGCCGTGTAGACGTACTGTGCGAGGGAAAGGACCGCGAGGGGTGTCCGTGAGACCGCCTGCCAGGGCTCTGGGGGGACGCATCACGCTCGCTCGCCGCCAGTCGCGGTGCAAACACGTGGCGGTGGTGGCGGTGGTGGTGGCGCGGTCACCCTCTCGCTCGCCCACGTGGGGCGGTTGTTGTTGTTGCTCGGGTGGTACCGCGCAATGCTCGGCACCATTGTCTGACGTTTCTCTCCACGTGCCGGGAGGTTCTTCAGGAACCGCACGCGTTGAGCAAAACGTCAGACAGCCGTGCCGAGCATCGCGCGGCACGACCCGGCAAACGCGGCGGAGAGCCGTACGGTAGCACAACCGCGAAAGCCAGGCGCGATCCCCCTCTCACCCACGTTGACCATGAACTTTGCAAATCGCCCAAGTACAAGACACCGAATGATGTGTACAGCACCACAGGCCCACTGGCGTGGCAAACATTGTACTGCCAGTGACAGAATCATGCCCTTTACTTACCCGGGAAATTCTCCTTGAGTCTCAAAACTTTTTTTTAGGAGAGCCCTGCAGCATTTGCAAGATTAGTCAATTCCATTATAAAACTTTGGCTTCGTATCAGAGAAAACTGTAGTAAACTGAAAAAAAAACCCACCTCGCATACGATGGGTGGGGGGAGGGGCACCTGGCACTGCCATCTCCTGGCCACACCTCGCAGCCCCACGCCTACAACGCCTGGCAAGCCCTGGTGCTCACCCCTCCAGGAACTAAGCAGGCCAGAGCGCGATTAGCGTCTGAGATCCGACGAGTTCTGGCGCATGTATCGGTGATAGGGCCATGTGGCACGTAACTGCGCCTTTCCGCAAACCTCATTCAATAAACCTGTGACCTTAGAACCGTTGCTGAGATTTGCAGCCAATTAGGCCAATTAGATTAATTGAACCCGCTTGGCTGTAAGCCAGCACAGCACACTGTCGGGAGGTTAGGGGCCCAGAGGTCGGCTATATAAAACCACTTAACTATAATATTCCCCTAGCGGCTTCTTTAAATCCGTGTTAATTAAGGAGGGCGGGGGGATTCTCGCGTAAGGTGTTTTATTCACGTGGCGGCAGACGGACCCTGGTCGGAACGGGGACTGCCCCTGACCACGCCACAGTCGGATCCCGGGGAGAGGAAGAGGTGGCGAGGGGGGTTGGGTCTCCCATGCCAAGCAATGCCACGTGCCAGATCGGCTTTACTGTTAAACTTCTCAAACCCCGGAGCAGGCACCCGTCTCCCTCCCCCCTCTCTCTCGCTCTGTCTCTCTGTGCCCTGTCCCCCGCTAGCTTTGGAGGAGAGACGCTTGCAGCGCATTCTCGCCCCCCCCCAACTCCTCTCGAGTGTTGATGTCACGGGGTCGGCGGCGGGTGGTGGTGGTGGGGGAGCGACGCACGGGGTCGCATCATCGCCCCCCCCCCCAGTGTGATGCATGCTTCAAGGATGCTGCCGTGCGCGCGCGCGTGCCTGCGCCTACCTCCGCGGCCTCCTCTCGGTTCTGTGTGTGTGTGTGCGTCTCGTCCACTTTTTACAGCCCGGCTTTTTGTAAACCGTGCGCCCGTGTGCGTGGATAAGGGGAACGCAGCTCCGGCTGCCGTGCGTTTTGTACTCGTGGCGCGTGAACGCAGCGCGCGGGGCGCCACGTGGCGCCACGTGGCGCCGCTGCCACCGCCGTTGCTGCGTCCGCGGGGAAGCGGAGTCGTCCACCAGAGTCCACCACGCCCGCGCCATCAGTCGCGCAACCTTGGCTGCATGCAACTGTGGCTCGTCTCTGCAACCAATCGCGAGCAACTGTCACAGCCGCTTGCGTGCGTGCAGTAGAGACGGAGACTCTGCTTTCAAGCAACTCAATACATTGGTCAATAACAGCTGGTGCCTTCAAATACAAATGTATGACGGAAGGTCCATTGCCAGAAACGTCGTCAATTAGATTATTTTCCGTTGAAGGCCACAGTTTTATTGAGGAACGTGTTGAGTTTGTTGCTGTTGTTGATTGTGCTTGTGCACCGCTGCCAACGCAGCAGTAACAGCGTGTCGCTAAATAATTGGCCCACTTTCGAGTTTCGAGCGACCCTGCTTTGGCGATTCGGTTGCCCAACCGGCGGGGCCGAGGTGTGGTGGAGCCGGCGGGAGAGGTTCTCGTCGTGTCGTCGTGTCGTGCTGTCGAGCGTTCCGCGTGGACGCCGCCGTTCTCGCCGTTTTGTCGCGTCCCCACTCGGGGGGGGGGGGGGGGGGCACGAACGCCCAGTGGTCGCGTGCCCCGTGTTTTAGCAGCGCCGAGTTAAAATGTGCAACACAAAGCCACGGCGTGTCCTCGAAATAACAGAAAGCCAAAGTGATGTGTCAGCTCACATGATCATTGGGGCGCTCACCTGCTATTTTACAGCCCTGAGCCAGTGGTAAAAATTAATCGTTCCCGTGGCGGGTTTGAGTTTATCCGTAGGACAACCACTGTTATTGACTTTGGAGGGATGGTTGATTGAACGAATCTATTCCCCCTAACCGTGATTTGACCTCACAACCTTAAGATTAGTGAGCAGCTCGCTCCACCGCTAGGCCACCGAACCTGGGAATAGCGTGGGCGGATATTCCTTGTCCCGCACATAGCAGAGCTTTTTTAACACCCCTAATACTTGAACACAACATTGGAAGGATATTGAAAATCGCACTCCCGAAGCTCAGTCAAGTTATCGTGCAAAGCCACGATGCTAACCGCGTCGCCAGCCGCGTCTCTACGCTGCTCAGGCAGTCTCAGTGTGGGTCTCTACTGAAACACTATATACTGCATAGCATTGGATTGTACGTGACAGAACTGGCTTATGATTTTCCATGGTTTCAGTGGCGTAGTATTGAGCATAAGGCCACAATCACCTCCATAGCCTGCACGGTATGGGGTGGCCCTCATTCAGCAGTGTATTAATATATACACCACAGCATCATATCTATTTAAAAACAAGTTTGGCAGGCTGGCTGGCGCGCGGGCGGACAAGTGCTCCGTGGTGACGTCATACGCACATCTGCGTGATGACGTCACATTCATCCCACCGCGTTGATCCGGGTTCGTGCGTGCCGACGTTTCGCCTCCCCACACCCACCCTCCACCCCGAATTTGTATCCCGCGAAAATACGCGGGCGGTACTGTTTCGCATTGCAAGCTGTGAATCGGATGCATGTGGTCGTCATGTACCCCATCACTGAATCATCCTCGGTATTTCGAGGACATGCTGTACTACCTCCCGATGTGTTTTTTTTCTTTGTACTCCGTGCAGCTGCGAAATTTTTGCGCGTTCACAGGGGCTGGGACACGAGGCAAGAAGCGCCGTCGATTGCCTCGTGCCGACGACTCCTCATCTGTGATCTGGCCTCCTGTGCTTTTCTCGCTGCGGAGTGACGGCGGCTTCTGTTTTTTACTCAAATAAATCTGTGTCTCACTTTTTGCACCGCCCCGTGCCAAGCCACTCACTGGAAACGCGGGTGCGACAATGAACCGTTAATGTACCGGCCCGTTATCCAACGCTCAATGAGGGTTCACCTGATGCCGTGCAGGTCATTTGGGGGGGGGTTACTTTAGCCATATGCTTCACCACGCTGGTACAAGCGGGTTTATAACGGCGTGGAGCACAGACGTGGTAGCACCTAAGGGGCCGTCCATAAATGACAAATGACGTCACGCACCTGAGGGGGGGGGTCAGACATTTGTGAAGATGTGTGACGAGGGGGGGGATTTGAGAAATGTGACGTCACATCAAAATGCGCAACTTTAAATAAATATAGACAACACGTTCTACTTAAATAGACTTTTTTAATATGTTTTCTCCTACAACATCAGAGTGCAGCGCCACATTAAATACGCACTACAATGACAATAGTTTAAAGCGATTTGAAGCATGTTTTTTTTGGGGGGGGGGCAGAGCTTTGTGACGTCATATTTGAGGGGGGGTCTGACTTTTTGTGACACCGTGTGACGAGGGGGGGGGGCAAAAAACCATCCAAAATCGCGTGACGTCATTTATGGACGGCCCCTAAGTACGGCAACTGACTTTGATTTTACTTCACTGCTCTCTGCTGATGCTGCACACAACAGCGCCCACCTCCTGTTTGTTTTACACGGCGGTCGCATATCCAAGCACTCCCTACCTCAGGCTCAATCCTGCTTAGCCCCTGAGATTCTGATGAGACCGTGCGCATGTCCCCGGTGATTTGGACAAACACGGGTGACATTCGCCAGGGACCTTTTCAGCACCGTGGAGAGCGAAAAAACACTCAAGGATCACAATGGGTAAGTTACAACTGAGATACTTGGGAGTATGCAGACAATGCGGGGGTTTTAAGTTAGCGATGACTTTGAACGAGGAATTGCAGATTTTGGCAGTTTTGGGCATTGATGCTGGACACTGTGGGTCTTAACATTTGCAATGGTTTAGAGATGGGTCCTGCATCACAGGTGTCAGCAGGAAGTCGTAATATGGAGGTAGTAAAATATATTTGTATATGAATCAGAGCGCTGGACATAACATGTACAACTCTTTAAACCAATCCACTGCTGGATGAGGGCCTCCACACGCCGTGCAGGTCATGTGCACTATTTGACCATACTTCATGCTGGTCAGTAACATAAGTCAGTATAGACTTAAGGGAGGGGCCGGCAATGAAATAATACAATACATTGTACTGTGCTGCACACTGGCATCTTCTGCCAACACCCCTGCATCCACTAATACCTGTTATAACGCCCGTTATAGGATTGACGCGCGACTCTTAAGAGCACGTGGCGCCGGGGGACCCCGCCTCTGTGTTGCGAGACACGATCAGCTGGCGCTAGAGTCACGTGCTCGCAGGGACGACCAATCACAGCGACGCACCAAAGATTTAACCCCCCCAGCCCATAGGCAACACGCCCCTCCCCTCCATCCCAGAAACCTGGACCAATGGGTACGCGGTGTTAGCATCACGTGACAGTGGCGAGCGCGTGACATTCGACGTCTCATTCGCACGTGACCGTCCAGGGTGCCCCCCCCCCCCCCCCCGTGAGGCAGAACCAATCAGGAGCTGGCGATAGTGCATGCCCTCCGCATTTGGCTCCAGACGCAACCAAATTCGGGGGGCATTTTAGTTGTGCCTGCCAATCGTCTCAGTCGGTCAACTCCACGGCACCTGTGGGGTCTGTTCCGTGACCTCCATTTGCCAGCAGCGAAGCCTTTCAACAACTTCACGCGGCCTCAAAGCGCCAATAACCAATACCCGCCATTCGGCATTGAGTGACTGTGACGTCCCCGCGGCGCCTGTGCCAGGTCAGGTGCACTTTGAATGCGAAGTGCACCTGGCGCGCCAACGCCAGCTCCTGATTGGTTCCGACTCCCGGGTGCCGCCTGTGCCAGGTCAGTGCCAGGTCAGGTGCACCTAGCCTGGCACAAGCGCCGCGGTGACGTCACCGCGACCTGGCATTTAAACGTGGGCGGCTGCTGTTGTTGTTGGCGCCCCGCATCACGCGGTCTCGTGAAGGGAACAATTTCCTCTGAGCTCTCTGAACCAATAGCAGCTCGCGACATCACAATCCCGTGACCGTCCAGGGGTTCCGTCAGGTCGGATTAACTCCACCCCCCTCTCGGCACGTCACCCTTTGGACTCCGACCAATGAAAACGCGCGTTTTACGCAGCGCCCTGATTTACATAAATCACGCCCCCTTCTCCCACGCGACAAAGCCCCCACCCACCCACCACCGTGAGTCACGTGACCTCGGGACCAGCCGCTCGTCACGTGACCCAGGGCCTTCGTCTTCCCCACCCCAGAGAAAATCGGCGGCGGTGGTGACAGCGACAATAAAAAAGATGTCGCGGTTCTCTGAGCTCTCGTTCAACGTGGACCATGGCTACCTGGAGGGGCTTGTGCGTGGCTTCAAGTCGGGTATCCTGCGCCAGGCCGACTACCTGAACCTCATCCAGTGCGAGACCCTTGAGGGTGAGCCGGCGGATTGGTGCCGGGGTGCGGGATAAGAGGCACGGTGATCGGTAGGGCGGCCAGGCGAGCATCGGGGGCCCGAGAGCGGCCTGGTCTCACATTCATCATTTTCTTAACGCTTCTTTTGATTCTCAATTAACCCGGCTTGTCTCTCTTTCCCCCCCCCCCCCCCCCGGCCTGACTCGCTCCCCTGCGGAGGCGTTAATCTCATGGTTATAGCCCTCAGCCTGTGGTGAAAATCCCACTTTTCTGCGGCGGAGATGCGGTGACTTTCATCCAGCAGTGGATGGTGATGATCACGTGGGGAAGCAAGGCTATTAGAATGGCCGCTGTTGAAATCTCACAGGCGGTGGTACTCATGTTATAGAGCGCGGAGGGAGGGATTATGCCTTGCTAAAGTCGTAACGTTATTTATTATCAGTCTTTTGTATTTTTGCCTTGGCATAGTGTGTACCGTATACTATGGGCTTCCGCCTTCACCAGTCCCCAATAACCAGTGGTGAAGCATGGCCAAATTACCTCTCTGCGTGTGGGGGACCCTCATCAATCAGTGGTTTGATAAGCAATGGATTTGTACGTTTACAATTAGTCACCCAGGTCTCTCTTGTCCAAGAGACGTTTCTCAGAGGGGTCTCGCCTGGCTTAACTGGTTGGTGATGTGTCGCAAACTCTGCTCACAGAGTCAAGCATTGGGAGTACAGCTATGTTATTACTGAATCTATTTGTGTGGCTATGTACGTGCCACCCCCCCTCCTCCTCATCATATCTGTAGTCTTTTTCAGGTATTCCTGTTTCCTCCCATTAATGGAATATTTTAAACGTCCCAATGCTGGCACCTACTGAAAAATAGCATTACTATTCCGTGAGGCTTCCGTGGGTAAATTAGTGTAATAAGTCGTATCCAGCCACGCTACACAGTGCCGGGGTTATTTAACCACAAGTTCACCAGGCTTCTCAGTACGGGTTAGTCAAGGGGTGGGGGGGGGTAAAGTGTGGGTGCGCCCACATCCAATACATCTGGTCGCCGTGGAAGAGTAGACCAAATACCCTCCAAGAGCTCCCTGTATTTGAGGGCTCTTTCACCAACGAGCAGGGGCATGAGCAGGAAACCGAGAAACGGAGGCAAATTGTTCTTCGGTCGCCGTGTGAATTGTACATTCGCGCGTGCTAATCTACATTCATTTGTAATATTCCACTGAAACATTTGTCGTATTTTGGCTTTCGAAATCGATTCTGAAATTGGTTACCGGTTTAACGGGTTATTGGTTAACAACCCTACTATGAACCAGAGTTCTGTTCTCGGCAATTGCTGATGCCAGCGGCGAGTAGTATCTGAACCGCTACTGACACCATTCACTATCCCGCACTGAGCCGCGCGATGGAGTGTGGTCAAACAACCCCCATGATCCCAACAGCGTGGAGAGACGATTGACAAAGGGCTGCACATCTGTGATGTGGTTTTTTTTGGGTTGTGCCTTTTAAACTTGCATGTATTGGCTCAGTGGTGTCGTCGAGAGTAAACGCTTGTACATTGATTTTACCGACATCTCAGTTCAGGAAGATGGCTTTTTTCCATATGTTTGTTTATACAGTTTGTCTTTTTGTTGTTACCACCACTACCGGTGTTGTGTGGCCTGCAGAGGCTACCTTAACTCCCCAAACGAGCACGGCGTGCGCGCCGGGTTACGATACTTTCAGCGCGTTACATATGGGCAATGTTAGAGCCGATTCACCGTCACAAGCGAGACATGTCACTGCTGATCCTTAAGTGCCTACAGAAGAGTCCATCCCACAGCCCGGGATTAGGTGTACAACGTTATTGGCCTATTTGAGGCCAATAATCAGCTTATTATAACAGCCATTCCCGTTTGTAAATGAAACATTCATCTGATAAAGAATGGCGTTTGTACAACGATGCCACTTAAAATTAGGTGTTTGTACTAAGAACAGCTACTGGAGTCGTCAGGATCTGTCTACTGTTAGATGAAGTAGGTCAACAGTAGCTAGCAGCTCATTGTGTCCATTGTAACTCGAGTAGTAGTAGCTGGAGTTCGTAACAACTTGAGTCTTTATTGGCAGGATTAATTTGTGATTGAAAGTGAGTAGTTGCTGGAGTCAAAGGTAGTTAGGGTCTATTTGAGTTCTCCAAGATAATTAAAGATTCTGATTCTGACCAGTAGATTAAGTGAGTAGTACCTGAGGTCAGTGTCTCGAGTCAGTAGGAGCTGGACTCAGTTGCTGGCATGTAAATGTATAATAATTGGCAATCCAATACCGGCTGAGGGCCTCCCCACACCGTGCATGTCGTGGTGGTTGTATGACCATTCTTGATTACGCTAGTCATTACGGGTCGGTAAAGTGGTGAGTATAATTCTGGAGTGTAGTAATACCTTTTATTTTGAGTAAGTACTAGCAGCCTCAATATGTAACATGACATTCCACCGGTGAGATTGTGCGCTTTCCAGGGGGTGGTTGTATTCA